TTGGTAAAACCTCATTAAGTCACAGAAGGTTATTAAATTTAAATAACCACTGACATTAAAGTTAATATCGTTCAGTAATTCTCAAGAACCTTAAAAATTAGTTAATATCTGTTATAACAAGACAAACTCAGTGGAGTGGAATTAAGAAGAAATCAGACTTGTTCAATTTTACACTAATGATGTAGAATATATGTCTAAACATCCTTGAAGATAGTAAGCAGAATTACTTTTTGAAAAGTTGAGCCTGTCTTCAAAACGGAATTTTCCACAGTTAATGAGATCTTTATTTTTATTTATTTATTTTTTTTATTTTTATTTTTTCCAACGTTTATTTATTTTGGGACAGAGAGAGACAGAGCATGAATGGGGGAGGGGCAGAGAGAGAGGGAGACACAGAATCAGAAACAGGCTCCAGGCTCTGAGCCATCAGCCCAGAGCCCGACGCGGGGCTCGAACTCCCGGACCGCGAGATCGTGACCTGGCTGAAGTCGGACACTTAACCGACTGCGCCACCCAGGCGCCCCAATGAGATCTTTAAAAAAAAAAAAAGAAAAGAAAAGAAACCAAACTACTAAATGTTGCTTTTAAATGTACCTAAATACTCTGGAATCTTGGGTTTGGAAAAACTCGTTGTGCTATTAGGTTGACTGTTATATTTTATGCTAGGGAACAGTTTTTTTAAAGACCTACAATTATTTCACTCTTTCATATCCAATTCAGTATTTTTTCTAAAATAATTAGTGATTAAAATTAAACTAGAGTTTCCACATTTTATATACAAAATCCTTAACATTGCACTTTTTTTTTTGCGTTGTTGGAAAATTTTTTTTTTTTTAATTTTTTTTTTCAACATTTATTCACTTTTGGGACAGAGAGAGACAGAGCATGAACGGGGGAGGGGCAGAGAGAGAGGGAGACACAGAATCGGAAACAGGCTCCAGGCTCTGAGCCATCAGCCCAGAGCCTGACGCGGGGCTCGAACTCACGGACCGCGAGATCATGACCTGGCTGAAGTCGGATGCCCAACCGACTGCGCCACCCAGGCGCCCCGCGTTGTTGGAAAATTTTAATTAAATGGAGGTCATTTATAGTAGCTTATGTGGTGCATATCAGTGATTTTTGTTTGATAGAAACTTTTACTCTTGTGCATTTTTAAAATATATATGGATGAATGATTTATTATATAGTTGTCTGTATTTATTATTTTAAATGTTTATTTTGAGACACACACACAGGGTAGTGCAGGGGAGGGGCAGAGAGAGAGGGGGAGAGAGAATCCCAAGCAGGCTCTGTGCTGTCCGTGCAGAGCCCTATGCAAGGCTCAAACTCACAAACCATGAGATCATGACCTGAGCTGAAACTAACTGAGCCACCAGGCACCCCCTATTGTATATTTTGTTCAAGAAATAGAAACATAGTCACCTTTTCATAAATTATTTTAGGTAAATTTAAAATTTCATCTTAGATATTTCCCTCTGCCTGGCACACCTCCCTTTATCACCACTCCCTTGGTGCTTGTTCACTGAAGCAAATTAATTTTAATACTAGCTTAAGCAAAATATGATTAGGAAGATCAGTCTGCTACGGAAGTAGCCATATATATTTCAAAGCTAAATACAAATAATTTCTAAGTTGCATGCTCTTTGGGATAGTCCATACTACACTTCTGCTTTGTTAGCAAGGATAAATATGATTCAGATGCTCTAATTTTAACCTTGACTGACATCATTGTAGTTTAAGACATTTAACCAGAATTTATTAGATGGGGGTATCTCTGGGATTGTGTTATCACATATATTACTGCTGACTGGTTTTATACTGCTGATGAAACAGCTGCAATGATTATTTGGTTCTCGTAGATTTTGTACATGAAGGTAGAATATAAAAGTCCCAAGAAACTCGTATGTATTTTTAAATTAATACCAATGAAAACTATGTTTGCCTGTAGCAATTTAAAGTATATTCTTGTATCTTATAGCATTCATCAAAGGATTAGGCATTGCATTTGTTAAAAGTTCTGCATTCTGTTTATGTCTAAGTTGAAAGCCTAATAATTGTAAACGTAGATTTTTGTGCATGTTATTCATGGTTGTGTCATGAAGATATCTTTACACTGGATAAGATAATAACCAGTGCTTATTGAAAGTCTATAGTGGGTGAGGCCCTTTACATGTAATTTAATTTAAGCCTTATAAAGGGTCTATCAGCTAATCATTATCTCCATTTTGCTCTGAGGATATTGAAGTTCAGAGAAGTGAAGAATCTTGCTTACATTATGTAGGCAAGTTAGTGGAGGTTAATTGGATTTGAATCCAAGTCTGACTTGAGAGCTCATGTGCGCTATATTTTTTCTTCATAATATGTCAGTTCTGTGGACTGTACAGGTCATAAAAAGTTAATCTCCTTTTCCACAAACCTGATATGTGAAGATCCAGATTTGTCAATAGACAAATTTAGGCTATCCTTTGTTGTTGTGAGATGATTGATCTCAAGTTCTTTAAATGACCCAGCATGACATTAAAAATTTTATTTGCTTTCCCATTAGTTCAGTTTTTCACTCATTTTACAAGAACCTGCATTGTGAGATTTTTTATCAAGTGAGGCAAACCTGTATTTTGGTATTCTATGTTGAGCCCATACTTCAGGAATGCCTGTTTTATGCCAGGTTTTAAGTGTTAGAGATGTAAGTGGCAGGCAAAAGCACACACAGTTCCTGGGCTCTGAAGTTAATGTACCTGGCCGGTTTTGAATCTGGTCTTTGATTCAGGTTTTGAATCCTCTTTTACCTCTTAATAACTATATGATTGTGAAAGAATGATATTACCTTCCTCAACGTCATTGTAAGGATTAATTAAGATAATGCATGTTCATAGTGCAGTATCAGGCATGTAATAAAACAGTAAGGGTTATCTTTTATTATCTTTAAAATAGAATTGAACTGTAATTAATTTTCTTTAGAAAATAACAAGTTTCATTAGTATCATTACCTTCAGTCTGAGTTGGTAGTTATCTTTCATCATTTGAAAAGTCTCATTAAGTGTTTCATTTGCTCTGCACACAGCCATATGCATTTTAGAAGTATAGTACACTATAAGCTGTGTTTTTATTTTTCATATTTTAAGGACAGTGCTAGAAGCATTGTGTGGGTTAATTCCAAATATGGGACTATCTATGTTTGGCTTGCGGCAAGTATAGTAACCTATTTTTGTTTATTACCTGTCTTCTGAAAAAGAAGATAAAGCATCACTTTGTGACTTACTCTGTGGAGCAGTGAGAAAAACAAGAATTTTTTTGTGAAAAATTTGAGGAAGAAATTCTTCATTGACTGCAAACAAAAATATGATATCACCCTGACTTATGATTGGCATTTTGTATGATTTGTTGAGTTTTTTTTAATGGGAGGCATTTCTAAATATTTTAAGAAATGGTGAAATTGAAAATGATATTACAACACATTATTTATGCACTTGATGTATAAACCCAAGTGCAACTGGCTGAATTTAAAAAGCTACACTTCTAAAAAGTTACACAAGAATAATCAATCTGGTCAAATATCCTTCCAGATTATTAAATTGTTTTACAATATTATGGTTTATCAAAAGTTTGAGGATGAGTTAAATGCATCCAGATACAATTTTTTTAGAGACATTTATCAAAATGATTAATAGATTTCTTTAAGTACTGGTTTCCATCAGTAATGATTTATTGTAACAGTTAAATTCTCTTTTTGTGAATTCATGCAAAAACTTATAATACTTCTAAGGAGATTTGTTCAGTGATATCTCCTGTAATAAGATATGTCAAGGCTATATTCATTATCTGTAATGAAATCTTGTTAGAGAAAATCTTGCTTTGACATTAAATCACTATCATTTTTTTCATTACCAAAGTCCAAATGCCAAGGAAAAGTCAACTCATAAGCTGGAGACGCATGTAAACAGTTCAATTATAGTAATAGCTAAAATAGATTTTACTGTATTTTTCTGTTTTCGTAGTTCCTTTAACTCTTAATTAAGCCATGTTAAAGTATGTAAGAGATAATTTGATGTTTTATTAGAAGCATCTTTTTTCTTGTTATATATAAAAGAAGATTGTGTGGTTGATATGGAGTTTTGAGGTGGTTTTTTTTTATGTGCATTTTTTAAAGGACTTTTTTGTATGATAGATTTTAAAGTATTTCCGTTAGTATGTACAACCAACTTTTGCATTACCTTTGATTTTATAACTGGAAATCAGAGTTCTAAGAATGAATTAGCTTTGCTGCTAATTCCAAGTTTTTATGTTTAAGCAAACTTTTGGCATTTATGTTAATTTATGTAACCTCAGTCAAGGCTTTCAGAAACTTTTGTTGAATTTTATTAAAATCAAGATTTAGTTACCTGTTTTAATGGTTAAATTTGTTTAATAGTGATTAAATTTTAAAGGAGCAAATTTAAGATCTAATTTGTTCTTAGAAGCCAAAGGAAATGAGAGGCATATTAATGATTTAGCTGTTCTTTGGGAGGAAAAATGCACTCTAACTTAGCACTTAGAGCTAAGTTTCTGCATTATCTCATTGAGACAGCCATATATGAAACTTAATTTAAAAAAATAACTTCAGCATGAGGTTAAAGAAATTAACACAATTCAGTGAATCTGAGATTTAGCATCAAAATAGGTACTGAAATGAATAAAGTTCTTTCATAAGAATAATGTCTAGTGATGCTCATTTAATATTTTTGAGCTTGAAGAATGAACAGACAGGGTGGTTCTGAAAATGAACTCCTGTATTATTTTGATACCACATATTCTGTTGAGGCTAAGTTATGCAGGTTGTGTTGGAACCCAGCCTGCAAAGAAATGAATTTGCTGATTTTTGTCACTTGGAAGACCAGCCAGGGTTACTGTAGCCTGCCAGTTGACTACATCAATAGGTAATATTGTGTGAAATCATCAAGTGGTACACTTTGTTTTGAAAGTGACACATATAACTTTTTATTATAATTATTAATACAAACAAAGAAGCTAATAGTGCTTTTATTTATTTTTTATTGTCATCAAGCAGTTTTCTAGGAATGTTCAGCAATATGTCAATTCAGCTATAATTCTAGTATAAAATACAGGAACTATGAATAAGCTTTTAGTGCCTGCCGTTAAAATTAAGTCAATAGCTTTAATACCTTCTTACACTTACATTTGGTTTCACTGTAGCTCTGTTTTAGTACATCTGCACATCTCTTTTTCTCTCAATGTTTAATTTTACCAGTTCAGTTTCTTTGTAGATTGGTAGAAAGGATTTTAAATCTTACAGCCCCTTAAAATATTGTATTACCATTTACTTAAATGAATGATAGATAATGTACATGCTTGTTCATTGTGCAAGTACCAAAGACATTCTGATTGAAAGACAGTTTACGGAGAAATAAACAAATAGCAAAAGCATTCAGTCTTTATTTATAATATATAGAACATCACTGTTTTCATTTTAAGAGTCTGATCAGCAGGAACACCCTTGAGAAGGACATCTTTAGCGATAGAATTTACATACCGTTAGCTCACAGTAATTGATTAGCAGCAGGGCTCTGAGTACAGAGCTGACTAGGCACACGTTATTTGGGATGCCTTTGATGCCGTGGTTTTCCGAAGCTTGCTGGCTGCATGCTTGTTGCCTTTGTTCGTGACACAGGTAATTACTTGATAAAATGAAGTGCATCGCTGTGAACAATTGACCCTTTGGAACAATCCAGGCTGGTCAGCAGTCTAAAGCCACACTTTAAAGCCATCATTATAGCTTCAAACTTAAGAGTTTCCAGGGTACAGACAAAGGTGTTGTCTTCCTTTAGTACAAGTCGAGTGCCATTTTCAGATTTTATGAAGTATTTAAATTGAATGATGTTTGATGATATTGAAAACTCCTCTGGAAATCCATCCAGCCTGCTTTTGGACACCAGAACAATGCGAGATTTTATTTTTGATATGAAATCAGGAGCATTACAGAAAATTCTCAGTCCTTGGGAGCGATCATGGTTATCTGTTATTTCCAAGAAAGTAGTCTCTCTGGGTGTTAGCTGTTCTTTTTCCCACCTGGCTTTCACTTCCTCCGCCAGTCCCTTGAGCTGAAAGAATTCTGCTTCTTGTGCAAGAAGTTGATTTTCTCGAAAGCCTTCGGGCAGTAGAAGTTCTCCATTTCGTAGGAAGTTCAGGACATGCCTGAAGAGGAGTCCATCCCTGTCTATGAAATAATGCCCATCAGCATCAAACGGGCAGAGGATTTTTCCATTTACTATACCTTCAAGGAAAGTGTCTGGGTACTTGGTCAGTGTTTGTTTTTGAGTAATGTATAAATATCCACCAACGTTGAGGGTCATCAGTGTGGATTTGCAGTTCTTTCCTTGGTCAGCGTCTTCCAAGCTGTTGTGTTTCCCTTCATACTCCTTTTCTTTTTCTCTTCTGTTTATTTTACGCTCCATTTTTGAAAATGCTATTTCAGCCTGTTCTTCTTGGCTCTGAGATTTTTAAAAAAGAAACACTACCACACAAGCACGCCTTTATTCAGCCCCAGCCTGGTGATGGAATGGAAATGCTGGCAGCGCCGCCTGCTCTGTCAGCTCGGTTTTGCAGTAGGTGGCGCATCAGCTATGCGTGCAGGAGATTTCTGGAGTAAGAAAACAGGGAAAAAAAAGATAATTTGCATTTAACTGTATCAGGGAAGGAATTTGTTGTTTAAGATTTTCATGTGTGTTCTTTGAAGTAATAAAAGTTCCTCAAGTTACTCAGTAAATTGGATTTCCTCTTAGCAGTTAAGCAGTTACAAATATTTAATTCTCCAGCTAAGTTGAGTATGTTTCCGTTTCTAAATGTCTTTTAAGTTATTGCTCACACAGGCAAGCTTAATATTGAATAATATTTTTAGTTTTTGAAAAATAATGCATATTGAATCTGTGTCATTTTTTAAAGCAAATCATAAACAGGAAACCAAAAGAGAAGGGAAGGAGGTGTATAGAATCTTTTCTCCTGTAAAACACACATTTCACAGTGGTGAAGTCATTTTTAAAGACCCAAATAAGAACATTTAAACCTGTTGTTTATGACGTGGCACTTGAATTTAGTTTGATTTGCATGTGATTGTGATTTAGAGATCTTTAGCACGAGAGAAGAAATTTTCTTAATGCTCTTAATGCTTAACGAAAGGTTCTATTATTTTATTTTATTTGGGTTTATTTGTTTTACCCTAAGGTAAAGCGTCAAACGTACAGGCTTTCAGTAGTCGTTTACATGTCTTTTTGGTTAAGATATCCTATGAAAAATTCATAAGCTTGTGTTATCCCAAACCCGCTCCATGTGGAACAAAGACTTGGGCTGCTGTAGAAAATACTGTAACTGTGTGTGTGTGTGTGTGTGTGTGTGTGTGCGTGCGCGCGTGTGCGTGTGTGCATGTTCACATACCCACGTGCACGTGTTTCGGAAGATAAAAGATTCAGAATACCTGCTGTAAAATAGTGCCATGGTAAATTTCACTGTTTTTTTTAGGTTCCCCCCCCCCCTCCCCCCCCCGCAGTGTACACAAAAGGCAAAAGGGCCAAAGACAACTTTTTATTTTATTTTTTGGTAACTTGGGAAGTGGAACAGTGTTGAGTCTGGTGTCCCCTCCACCCCCACCCCTTTTTTCTTCTTCCCCTCTAACTTGCCTTCCAAGGCATTTTAGAGATCTGAGCTTTCATTTCTAGAGTTTAAAGGCCCAGGGGTAAGAAATGTGAACATTGTCCCCAGTACACTATTACTTGACTGGTCTATCTGCTAAATTATTCTGAGGAGCACATTATTCTCAGAGTTAAATTAGATTTAGATTTAATATTGAATTGATTTATATTTCTATTACATTAAAGGCATTTTTTAATTATTCAACTGTATGTTGGCGGAAACATTGGAGCAGAGTCTTCTAAAAATGCTTACCTTGTATTTTCTCTAAGCAATGTTAGATTTTCTTCAGATATAAAAAATTATATCTTTAATTATAGCAGATAACATGTATTAATACTTAGATTATCAAAAGTCCATTGAAATTAAACTAGAAATCTAATGCATAACGTTTTTAGAGCTGAGTTTTTGCTTAGAGACCATAAAATTCAACCTCCTCATTTTACCAAAAATAAAATTACATTCTGGGGAATTTTTTTAAATGTTTGTTTATTTTTGAGAGAGAGAGAGAAAGAGAGAACGAGTGGGGGAGGGGCAGATAGAGAGGGAGACACTTTAAAGAGGCTGTAGGCTGTGAGCTGTCAGCACAGTGTCCGACGCAGGGCTCGAACCCACGAACCACGAGATCATGACCTGAGCCAAAGTTGGACGCTTAACCGACTGAGCCATCCATGTGCCCCTAGGGAGCTTTTAACAGTGTTTTACCTAGAACTTTACAGCTTGTTAATAAGCCAACACTTGAACTAAAGCTTCCCCTTAGTCCTGTATCATTTAAGAAGAGTTTACTCTTATATTCTAACAATTTCATGTCTGTGTTGATTTTGTTGTTTTAGAATCAAGTCTTGTCTATGGATCTGACTTTTTAAGAAATATAGAGGTGCCTGGGTGGCTGAGTCAGTTAAGCATCTGGTCATGATCTTTCGGTCCATGGGCTTGAGCCCCTCATTGGGCTCTGTGCTGAGAGCTTAGAACCCGGAGCCTGCTTCACCTTCTGTGTCTCCCTTTCTGTCTGTCCCTACCCCACTTGTGCTTGCTCACTGGCTCTCGCTCGCTCGCTCGCTCACTCTCAAATAAACATTAAAAAAATTTAAAAAATATATTTAATAGATTTTTTTTTAGCACAACTTTGGAAATGTATTCATGGGATTCATATGTTTGTAGTCACTGTATGCTAGTAGCACCATGTAATAAGCAGAATCCGCAGAGACGTGATAATTTTGTTGCTGGGTCTGGTCCTCTTTAAATGAACTTTATGGGACATCAGAAGCAGCAGAACAGAACTGTAGTGTAGTGATGGAACCTGGGTTTTGTATGATTAAATGGAGTGACGTAGGAGATGATCACGTAATCCTAGGCCTTCTTCCCTACAGCCTGTTTGGCCCATTTGTAGATGCCTTCATGGGGAAATGAAGCTCGTGCTGCTAGAAGGTGGGCTTCCTCAGGATGGGAAGGTGAGGCGGGGCTGCCTCTTCAGCCAGCGCACCGGGGCCCCGTTACACTTGCCAACTCACTTCTGTTTCTGCTGCCTGGGTTTTAAGACTGTTTGTGTTCTTTGTTTCTGCTGGCTTGCCTTGACAGACTCTGAACCCACCCCAATATGTGCCTCTGACCCTCGGTCGCTTTTTTTTCCAGTCTTGACTTCACACCGGCGTTCTTGGCTTCTGCACACCTGCCATGCATGATTTGCTTGCCACCCATGGCCTGGCAACAATAGTGTGACGGAAGCTTTGTCTTAGTGCCTGACTAGAAGTTGATATGAATCCATAGCACTTTTCTTTTGTGTCCTGCTGCCCCCAACTTGCAGTCTTGAAAAAGAAAAATGGCTCCCGGTAGGCCTCACTTTATCCCCATTACACCACATTATCCCCTTTAAAGTAACATGATTGCATTTTACAGACGTTGCAGGGGGTTGTAGATCATTGCTGCCTGTTGTGGCACACCTGCCCCTTACGAGACAGCTAGGTTGTTTTCTTCTTTCTGTTCTATTCTAAGTTTGTATTTGCCTGCTTGGGTGGGTGGAGGGTGGGGAAAGCTTGTCCTGGATAGTGTCAGTCAGGTCCACACAACCCTAAAACTATAAAAGTGGTGCTTCGTATGCCAAGAAAAATATGGTGTGATTCTGTTTCTCCACCTCACTGCAGATATAAACTGCAGTTCAACAGTTTCAGCAAAACACTTAACCCACATGTCAAAGATTAGCTTACTTCGATCCACTTGATCACTAGATTTGAGGATTTCATCTCCTTTGCAGACAGAATGATTTTTTTAAGGTAGGGGCCCTGTTTTCTACTCATTACCCTAGACCTTTATTAGAGTTAGATCACCTCTGTCTTAGACATCTGTACTCACACATACAAAAGAGCCCTTTAGCCAACTTTTAGGATTTAATTTTTTTTTTTTTTAACGTTTATTTATTTTTGAGACAGAGAGAGACAGAGCACGAATGGGGGCGGGTCAGAGAGAGGGAGACACAGAATCTGAAACAGGCTCCAGGCTCTGAGCTGTCAACACAGAGCCCGACGCGGGGCTCGAACTCACTAACCGCGAGATCATGACCTGAGCCGAAGTCGGCTGCTTAACCGACTGAGCCACCCAAGCGCCCCAACTTTTAGGATTTAGACAGTGCCATGTTAGGGTCTTGGTATAGGTATATCCATTAGTTAGGCCCAGTGCCTAATCAAATTCTAGCAAAACCTTCCACTAATACGACGATGCTAATCTTCCAGTATCTGCATTAGGCAGAACTTCTTCCAGGCCAGTGGGAGGAGTTCCCATCTTATCTACTAGTTCCTGAGGGAAAATGAGGTCATTGTCGTCGCCATGATTGACACGGGATGTCATCATAATATATGCTTGCTCTATTTATGTGCCATGGAAGGAAGTAGAACCTCACCAAGAAGGTATCTCTTTTGGTTGGAAGATACAAGATTTGATAATTCCCCCAAACTGACCATATCACTCTGTGAAATTCAAACACTCCTTTTCAAGGAAAAAGGTTGGTTTTAGGAGCTGCCTTTAAAATAAGAAAGAACACTGCTTCTGTCTCCACCTATACCAGATCTTTTTGGTTGTTTTTACCTCCATGTTTTCTGCCTGTCTTTACAAAAACAAAACAAAATAAAACAAAGATGATTTCTCATTACCTTAGACAGAAGGTAAAAGCAACTGTCGATTTTTACTTGAATCTGGCACTCGGTCTTAGCTCCGGACTTGCCACATTTTTTCAAGCTTCTTGATCTGTTTTCCTCACTTGAATTTGATGCCCACCTGCCTGACTCCATAATGATAGCTTTATCTGTTCCTTTTCTCTAATCTGGCTAACCCTTGGCCATCTTACTTTTATGTCCTCTGATATCTCTGCTTTGAACCGTGTCTTTTGCAAGCTAAGTTTTCTCTCTCTCTTTTTTAAGTTTATTTATTTTTGAGAGAGAGAAAGAGAGAGCGTGCATGTGAACAGAGGTGGGGCAGAGAGAAAGGGAGTAAGAGAATCCCAAGCAGGCTCTGCACTGTCAGCATGGAGCACAATGTGGGGCTCGAATTCACAAACTGTGAGATTATGACCTGGGCCGAAATCAATCGGATGTTTAACTGACTGAGCCACCCAGGTGCCCCAAGTTTCTCTTTTTTAATGTGTGGTTTATCTCTTCTTTGTAGCCTCCTGTTAATAGCATTTAATGTGAGAAACATTCGTTTTGATATTCAGCTATGACTAATTTACTCTAGCCTCTGTGTTAAAAAATAAAAATAGGGGTGCTGTGTGGCTCAGTCAGTT